TAATAAATTTCTCGTACTCCGTCCGTGCTTCATTTATTATTTTGTAGAAATGGTAAATGCCCACGTTTGAATTGAGAATAAGTGAAAAAACTTTCTGAGGCGTGTTTTTTTTACAACTTTTAGATCAAAATTTGGGTTAGTTTGGGTCAGTCCAAAAAAATTTGCGCGCCTCTGGGGCTTCCCCCCTGAGTGTGTGCACCGCCAACTTTTCCTCTCACCAGCCGCCACTGCTTTTGATCAATAAATCTTTTTGATACAGATCTTAGGAATTAGGTCTACTATCTAAAATGAAATAAATACAGCAGTGTTAGATCAATCAAATTCATGTTACATTATAAAATAATAGAAAAAAAAGGGTCCCTACGTCTGGTTCTGAGACTACATTCTTCAATATTTATTCCTCAGTTTCTGAAACTGTTGAGGTAGTTGATGAGGACTGAGAGAGCACTGTCGCACATTTGGAAGTACTCGGAGCATCAAAAATTCTGAAAAGAAAAAATTATAATGGAGCAATCCCTTGTTTTAAAAAGTAGGTAGGCGCATATATGATTACCACTGACTCTTATTTATCTCAAAACCGAAAGAAATCCTATGTAGCATCCTATACACAGATGAAAAATACGAACCCTCCAGAAACAACTTTCTTGTCAAACACATGACTCTCCCGATTAACGATTTCAACCACAGGCTTGGAGGAATATCAGGATACATGGGGTACACTCAGTCCTTGGAATCTAAAATGATTTAATAAGTGTTTCTGCCCTACCTGACAAATATTGAATTTTGAACTTGGAAACTGAACTAAGTAGTTAAAATCACATAATCATCTTAATCAGGAGAATATTTTGTATCTTCTTTTTGGATTATAAAATCATTCCAATTCATTTTTTGTAGTCTGCATAATATACCTAAGCAATAATTCAATATTTTTTGTTATCACAAACCAACATCTACTCACACTACTTCTGTTTTTGGAGGAGACTGGAGACTCTGTGACTGAAGAGTCTGAGCTGAGGTCTGAAATGGAAATAAATGTAGCTAATATGTAGAAATTATATCAAATATTAAATAACCAACTTACTTCGAAGTATTGAAAACATTGGAAACAGGTGAAGGACCGAACCAGATTTCAAATATCTAAATCCATTAGGCCTAGTGCATATATCATTGAGGTTAAAATGATCTGAGCAAACATCAGCGGTTTTGGGTAGTCACTTATTTTCTAATCCTAGAAGGCAAATCCATATACGCGCCTGCTCTCTGGATTTGTTGGAATCCTACAAAGACGCATATTTAACTTTAATCAAGCATAAGGATTATTATTATTCTGCTTGGATTTTTCCTATAGAAGTTCGTAGAAAAAATTATCAATAGTAATATAACTAGTGCAATGGAAATTATTGATAATTTTTGGGAAATTTGCCCGAATGCATTTTTAGTTGAAAAAGAGCACGAGTGCACGCAGTGCACGAGTGCCTTTTTCAGTTAAAAACGCATGAGTGCAAATTTGTCGAAAATTATAAATATATTTCCATTGCACGAGTTGTATTTAATGAGAGAATTTCATAAATCAAAAATTTGAATTTTTTGTCAAAAAATGTCAAAACACCAGTTTTCGCACCAGTTACTATGCAATTATCTGATAATTTGCACTAGTGCAAATTATCAGATAATTGCAATCTGATTGGTTCAAATCAACAATCAAAACATGTCAATTCATTGTTGGAATACCAGTTTTGACAGATGTATGAAATTCTCAAAATTAACAACTGGTAACTCAAAGATAACAAGCTTCAAAAAATACATTATACCTTTAAGCAATGTAATAGCCCACATAACAAAATTGCATCCTTAGAATGTATTAAGAATGTTCCTTTTTTAGGAGGAATGTGCCTAGAATGTTCGCCAAAACCATTGCGAATGTCCTGAGAATGTTCTGAGAAAAGATTGTAGAAATACTGTTTGCAATACCCAAGAACTTCCTGGGAAATCCATTAGGATATTCCTAGAATATACCTATGAGATTCTCAGTACGTCCTTAAAAGAATATTCCTGTTTGATTCTAAAAATATGCTCGAAACGTACCTATATTCTCACATTCACAGAATGTTTCTATGACATTATAGTTATGTTCTCAAAATATTCTTAGAATATATCTACATATATCATTCTCAATATGCATCCTAGACATAACATTCTTGTTTGATTCTAAGGATATACTTGGAATGTTCATTTTCGCTTCCAAATAATGCTCGTTTCAGCCCTTTTATATTAAAGGCAGTGAAAGAGTTTTTGGAAAACTTCTCTAGAAAACACGAGTATTTAACCAAAGCTCCGGTTTCGAGCTTGTTATGCTCTCGTCGAAGCACGCCAACTGAGAGAAACAGGTTCCAAGGTGATTCAAATGCGAGGCAAGATGTAGATCTTTAATAGCGTGTCGCTACCTCTCTTGGAAGGCATACAAAGCAAAAGAAAAAGAATATACCTATAATGTTCTTAGTAGGTTCTAAATAGAGCATTATTGTTTAATTGTACAATTAAGATTTTTGAGTAGGTACTTTAGATAATTAGGTGAACAATATGAAAATATTCTTATCATGGTTACCTGCCTATATAAACTTCTCAGCACAACTTGGTAGGTATATTCTTAATACTTGATAGAGATATTAGCTTAAAGAACATTTTCTAGGATACATTATAATAATGTTCGTTTGAGAATATTCAAATAATGTTATATAAAGTAGGTTCTTAGCACAATCTTTCAGGTAGGTGCATAGAAGCAAAATTCCTAGTACATAAATAGAACGTTCAAAAATGAATATTTCAATCGAAACAATCTAAGAATATTCATTGAACATTCCTAAAAGAACATTCCAAAAAGTACTTTGAGGGAATATTCTGAGAATATGAATGTCCTTTCACTGTTACGTGGGAGGTAGGTATGTTTTCATTTATCTGATATATTATCTCATCAATCCAAATAATTTCCTCAATCTTGGAACAAATTTGATATTTTTCTGGCGAAGTACATTATGTCCTATTCTACGCCACTGCTTTGCTATCATAATATAACCCCCTACTACTTACCTATGAAATGAAATTTCCGGGTTCATATAATCCAATTTTTCACACATTTGACACTGTCTAACCATATTGCTGTATAATATTAGTCTCAAAACACACAAATAATTCAGTTTCCAAAGATAAAATATCAGAAAAGCCCCACAAAAACGATTTCACGATGCTTTCTAACAAAAGGCAACAAGGCACAATCAAACTGACGTTAACTGTCATCTTTGACACCGTTTTACTATGCGATGTTGTCACGTTGAAAAATAAATAAGAATACTTGAATAATAACAATATTTTCTTAGCTCCTTTTTTACTAAAACAAACAAGTTGAAATTATCAAAAATCTGCATTGAGGAGTTTTTCTAGTTACTCAGTTTATTTGCACTTTTATCAAATTTAAAAAGGCATTTTTTTCCTAATTATTCGACGAGAAGTCCAATAAAGGTTTTTTCCAAAATATAATCGGCAACATGGTGATTCGCTTTCTTACTGGCACATCGTCAAAATGTAAATAACGGCCTCTATTGTTTTTTATTCCTCTGAGGTGATAGCGATAGCATTGTAGATGATTGCTTGGCTGAGAAATTCAAAGTTATATGCATGCGGTCTTCAGTAATACTTTTCATGCATTCTAGATGGACATCAACTCAGTCAAGGATCCTTCAGAGAAGGAATTATCTAAATGAATTATGTATATATTATATTATATTATATTAGCTGATCTTTGCAAATAACTGCAGAACCGATTTTCTTCGTCAACGATGAGATTATATCTGTGCGAAACATTCTCAAAAATTATTCTTGCGTTATGTGTCTGTTTATCATTTCTACAAGAAGGCATGCAAGATAATTTCTGTGGTAAGACGAAGAGTTACTTCTTGATTTTTTAATAGCAGGCGACCCTTGTTGATTCGCACAATAAATGTCTTTTTCGACTCTGAGTACCACTTTGACTTTGCATGAACGCGACTTTTCTGTTTAAAAGATCAGCGCCAGCGAATGAATTTGTGCCATCTTCTTGTCCTTAGGTGCGATTTCTTTAAATTTGAAATTTTTTAACGATATAAGAACGTCCTTTTCGACTAGGTACTTACTTTATTAAAATTATCATCTTTTAGAGACTATTATTGATTTTCAGTCATTAGCATAAGAACAACATTTATGCCAGACTTAAATCCTCATCAAGACTTATTTCGACTAACGGATAAAGAATGGTAACCCACCACACTTAACTGTGACTTAGAATGAGTATTGTCTTCATTCAAATTCTTAACAATGAATTTCAAAAGTTGGGCATGACAATCCGGGATTGCTGGCAGTAAAAAATATTGAAATTTATCTCCACCCTTCATTTCCTAACCGTTGATACCATTCTTGTCAAACTGGGGGAAGATTATCACTTCCGTACGTTTCTACCCATTTATTCAACTGTCATTTCACAGTAATTTTTATCCATTTATTAGAGCCCTAATTAAGTTCTTCTTGAAGAACAAAACGTATGTCGCATGGTCCTCACACATCGTCGCAAATGCATTTCAATACAGTCTTGTCCAAATCGGAGCCACTTGTCTTCTTCATGACTCCATCACAGATCGCCAAAATCTTCAATCTCTAAGACACCTACTCAAAGATTCATCCACCCTTTGAGTACAAAGGGTCTGGCTCGTTTTCACAATAAGAAACACCACATTACATAAGGCAATAAATAAGGACGTTATATTATGAATATATCGGTCAATAGGTACTAACTACTTCAAAAAGAAAATTGACATGAAATAACATTGGGCATAAGATAAAGATGAAAAAGTATCTCCTCCAGGCCCTGGAGTGTGGAGGTATGTTCCCAGAAAAAGGTCGGCGACTTACAAGTGTCATATTCACATCTTAAGTTTATAAACATACCCAAAAATTTAAAATTCACTATTCAGGTTGCCCAAGGACGGTTAGAGGGCCTCTTAAACTACCAAACAATGGTCTCTGAGCTTACAGGCTTAGAAGTAGCAAATGCTTCACTTTTAGACGAAGGCACTGCAGCAGCTGAAGCATTATCGCTATGCTATAGGCAGAATAAAAGAGGAAAACTGTTGGTTTCGGACAAATTACATCCGCAAACGATTTCTGTTGTACAAACCAGGCAAGTATGTACTGGTCAAACTATGTTTGATTTTTCTAATACATTTGCTTCGCAGGTTAAGCTCTTTGGGGCTCCAAGTGGAGGTGGTGAACGTTTTTGAATCAGACTTTTCAAATCATGATGTTGCTGGTGTTTTGTTCCAATATCCAGACACTGAAGGCAATGTTGAGGATTTCAGTGCTGTAGCTGAAAGTGCACATGCTAATGGTAACAATAATAATTTCAGAATTTAAAATTTGTCATTACTAGCCTCAGATAAAACTACATTACTTCATCAAAAATTACAGCTAATAATACATTTAAAAACACACACACACTTTTATTCCAGGTACTCTAGTGTGTTGTGCCACAGATCTTCTAAGTTTAACACTTCTTAGACCTCCAAGTGAATTTGGGGCTGACATAGCAATAGGTACTTCACAAAGATTAGGTGTACCTTTAGGTTATGGTGGTCCGCATGCAGGATTTTTCGCTTGCAATCAATCTTTGGTACGTTTAATGCCTGGAAGGATGATTGGTGTTACAAGAGATGCTGCTGGACGTGATGGATATCGTTTAGGTATAAATAATCATAAAAATAATACCAATATTAATATATCCAATGAATTTTCTAGCTTTGCAGACCAGAGAACAACACATAAGAAGAGACAAGGCCACAAGTAACATTTGCACTGCCCAAGCGTTGCTTGCAAATATGTCAGCAATGTTTGCTGTTTACCATGGACCACAAGGATTAAAGGATATTGCCACAAAAATACATCATTCTGCTTTGGTTCTTCATCGCGGGCTTGCAAAATCTGGCAATACCCTTACCAATGAAATATTTTTTGACACTTTACGAATCGAGCCAACATCAGACATTGAAGACATCAAAACCAGAGCTGCAGAAAAACAAATAAACTTCAGATATTATGAAGACGGAACTGTAGGGGTGGCTCTGGATGAAACAGTCACCCCCAAAGATATCGACGATATCTTCTTTATCCTGGGAAGCTCTGAAAAATTCACAAACTTACTTGAAGACCCTTTGGTCAGAGCCAAAGCAATTTACAAAAGCGATTTCAAAAGAACCTCGCCGTTTTTAACTCACCCAGTATTCAATTCTCACCATTCCGAAACTAGAATTGTACGCTATATGAAAGTATTAGAAAACAAAGACATTTCTTTGGTGCATTCGATGATACCTTTAGGCTCCTGCACCATGAAGCTAAACTCTACCACTGAAATGATGCCATGTTCCTTCAAGCATTTCACTGATATTCACCCTTTCGCTCCTTTAGATCAATCTTTAGGCTATCATCAACTATTTGCTGAGCTAGAAAAAGATTTATGTGCCATTACTGGTTACGACAAAATCAGTTTTCAACCAAACAGTGGAGCTCAAGGAGAATATGCAGGCCTAAGAGCTATCCATTGTTATCATGAAGCTAGAGGCGATAAGCATAGAGACGTTTGCCTGATACCTGTCAGTGCTCATGGAACTAATCCAGCAAGTGCTCAAATGGCTGGAATGCGAGTGGAACCGGTACGAGTTAAACAAAATGGTACCATTGACGTCGAGGATTTGAAAATGAAAGCCGAAAAATTCAGGCAGCGATTGTCTTGTTTAATGATTACTTACCCTTCGACTAATGGGGTGTTTGAAGATACTGTGGCAGAAGTTTGCGACATAACTCATAAAAATGGCGGTCAAGTTTACTTGGATGGTGCCAACATGAATGCTCAAGTTGGACTTTGCAGGCCTGGCGATTACGGCAGCGACGTTTCACATTTGAATTTACACAAAACATTTTGCATACCCCATGGAGGTGGTGGTCCAGGCATGGGTCCGATAGGAGTTAAATCTCATTTGGCTCCGTTTTTACCTGGACACCCTGTGGTGAATCCTTTGGGTGCCAATTCCACATCTTACGGAGTAGTCAGTGCAGCACCGTTCGGTTCTAGTGCTATCCTACCAATATCGTGGGCTTACATTAAAATGATGGGCCCTAGAGGCTTGAGAAAAGCTACTCAAGTAGCTATTTTGAATGCCAATTATATGGCTAAAGTTTTAGAGAATCATTTTCCTACGTTATTCAAAAGTGCCAGCTCTAATTTGGTAGCTCACGAATTTATTATTGATATAAGAGAGTTTAAAAAGACTGCTAACATAGAGGCTGCTGACATAGCTAAACGTTTGATGGACTATAGTTTCCATGCACCAACAATGTCTTGGCCAGTTCCTGGCACTTTAATGATAGAACCAACTGAGTCTGAGGACAAGCAAGAGCTGGATCGGTTTTGTGAAGCTCTAATATTCATCCGACAAGAAATTAAAGATATTGAAGAGGGTAGAATGGATATCAGGGTGAATCCTTTGAAGATGGCGCCGCATACGCAAGAACAAGTAATTAGCAGTACGTGGGAGAGGCCATATACAAGAGAACAAGCAGCTTTTCCAGCGCCATTTGTGAAACCTGAATTGAAAGTTTGGCCGACAGTTGCTAGAATTGATGATATTTATGGCGATAAGCATTTAGTGTGTACTTGTCCACCTATTTTGGATCAATATAATTATTAAAATTCGGTTATGTTTTTTTTTCTTCACAAATTTCAATGACATTTACTTTTGTTATATAGGTACCTTATCTATATATATAAAACACAGTTGTGTTGGTTCTAGCACTTATAACTCGAAAACGGCTGGACTGATTTTTATGATTTTTGCTTTATTGGATTTGTCTTTGTCCCTAATAACATAATAAATCGAAAAAATCCAAAAAAAAAAAAACAAAAAACAAAATTACTTATTTTACTTATTTATGGAAAAAATTCACTAAGCCCACATACGGCGTCATGTCTTATAACCGATACCAAGTTTACAGCCACATTTTCATTGCAAACCATTTTGTATACTACGGCGCCATCTCTGATACCTAGAACGAAGCTCGCCGTTGCGCGGTAATTTTATTGCAGATACAGTAGAACAATGCTGCTCAGGAACTGGAGCTATTCTGAACAGAACGATTCTACTAGTCCGATCACATAGAGTGGTGCAGAAAGAGTAGATCAGATAGAATAGTGCAGATACAGTAGAACAGATGGAGTAGTGCAGTGCATGCAGTGCAGATAGAGTGAAACAGGGCTGCGCTAGAATTTTTTTTTTGTTTTCTTCACATTCTTTGAACATTCCTGTGTCTGAGTTTATTTAATTGGTGGTACACTTTACAAGAATAATGCCCACAAGCTGCCTAAAAAGGGATCATGTAAAATTTTAATTTTAGGTGACTTCTGATCCAGAGAGTAAACATAATTTTTTTTCAACCAAAGCAAAATTCACCATCTAAAAAAAACTGAATTCAATTCAGCTAATAGATACGTTAACACAACATTTAATAGGTATTTAATAATTCAGAGGCGGTACGAAGTTCTCCGGTTCAGCTAGTACCTAATATACTTATGTAACCATAGTAGGAGTAGGTTTTGTCATTTACAGTTATTGGGAAATTTTTTCATACACAGGGTGAGTTACTAAGAGCCCGGTGGTCCATATCTCCTATACTAACAGAGATCGGAGAAAATAGTAAATACAAAACTTGTAGATAAACATGAGTACTACATTCCTAAATTATTTTCCAGTATACAGGGTGGCCCAATAAGTAGTGGTGACACAAGGTTAGGTTTTTTGAAATGACTAGCCCTGTATATTATGATATTTCTGGATTCTGCGAAAAATTCTAGATATATTTCATGTACAATGTTATATACCTATCTTTAACTGTTTCGGAAATATTGACAGTTTGAAATTGACATTTTTGCATCTCTGATAGACTGTAAAACCTAAACGGTTGATTTTACAGCAAAACCGATTTTACATTCTTATCCTAGTTTTTCATAAACTATCATTTGACACCATTTTGTTTTGTCAAAAATTTCATGAGGGAAATAACGAAAAAGCAACAAACTTGAATAAAACCAAGAGAATAATTTTGCCTACATAATTTTTTCTTGAGTAGTATTCGACTGGACTATTTCAAGAGAAAAACAAGCCAAATTTTCATTTGGAAAATTTATTTTTCTACGAGCGTGCGGGAAATGGCTCTTCCAGCACTATTTGCTGTGCGGGAAGAGTTTGAAATAATCATTGTGACATCGAATTGTTTGTATTGTTAATACACCTTTACCTTTACCTTTACCTTTACCTTTTTTTGTAAATACTGGTTAATACATTTTTAATTCTACCCTTTGCACAATCGCATTTTATTTAAATTAAACTTTTCCTAACATCACCTTTAGTATGCTCGTAGAAAAAATATAGTTCCTTACTCTTGCGGGAAGAAAAGGAATTTCTCTTTCCGCACTCGTTAGGAAAATAGCTATTTCTTTAGGTGACACTTGTCAAACTCAATAGTTTTTTATTCTATCCACACAAAATTTTGTCGCTGAAAAACTATCATGTTGGTTTTGTCCAAGTAGGAAAAGGTAGGAGTTTTGTCAGTAGGAAACCGTCCGTTCCTACGAGATTTTGCCAGTGTAAAACACTATAGTGAAATAGTGGATATAAAATATAGCTTTAATCCACCTAACTATAATTAACTATCGCTTCAGTTGCTAATAACTATCTTTAGTTTCAATATCGTAATGTAATTTTAAATGAGGAGTAGGAACTTTTTGACCGCGATAGTTAATTTCTAAAAGCGGACGTGAAATTTTTTGTTTTTTTGAAGCATTCATGGTAGGAAATGCGATAACAACGGAATGAATGAACTCGAACCGTTTAGGCGTATTTTATACTAATCAAGCTCAATCATCATCGACACATAAACATCAAAACTAAGTATAACCGTTGTTAGAATAACCAACTCGTGCCTTAAAATGCATAAACAATAAAACATATCGGTTTTCGAGTTTCCTTTGTAAAATTTAAAATAGGCATGTTTTTTTTTTCAAAAATAAATTTTAAAGCCCATTAACTTTTAAAATACAGTCCTTAAATTTAATTATTATGAATATTGTTTGTAGTGTGAAAAACAGCTTGAATATTTTTAGTCATGAACATATAAGGTAGGATGAAATATGAGATGAGGAAAATCTTTCCCGCTCTTTCTCCTCCTTATTAGTGGGTAGCTCTTTCCGTGATGGATATTTACTTTGGGAAGCCTATATAAAGCATTGGATTGGGATTTATTTTCAGTTTTAGAAACATTTTTACTCAGTTTTCACCACATAAGTAACAATGGCTACTACACCATCAACAATTATTATAGTTATCATTAAAGATAAAGTTAATTTTCCTCTAAAAATGGGTGTGGTTGTGATGAAACAACTATTTACGTAAGTTTTAAAATCTTTTTTTATTACTTTAAAAATAAATTGTACCATTTTTTTTTTAAGTTATGGAGTACGGGATATTGTAGTTCGAAATGATAAAATAATAATTCACTTGTGCTACTCTCCTTAGGATACTACCTTGAAGAAAAAATTTGGTGCTTTACCTATCGAGTATATGAGAACTCGATTGGAAAACGACGAAGAATTGGAACTTTTCGACAAAGCATTGAAAAAATTTAAATTTAATTTAGATGAAAATGAAATTGCAATCAAACAGGGACCTCCAATTTTATCTATCGAACAATCGTTGACAACTGCAGCAGCCTCCTCTTCAGAACCGAAACCACAACAGTCATCATCATCATCGTCGTCATCATCCAAGAAGCTATCTAACAATATTTTTGTTTTTGAAGATGATGAATTTTTGTTTAATTAACATAAAATGTTATTTATTTAAATGATATATCAAATAAATAAAACACAAGTAAAAATTTGCTTCAAAATTTTATTCATATACCTACAATTTTCGAAAACATCTAGAAAAAGTTACAATACTCTATGTAAAAACCATCTTTTCAAATAAAACACATTTTCTCTCGCACATCTCAAATTATTGAATATATGTTTCTGACACTGATAATTATTTTTTTTGTTCAGTTTCGTATATATTAATTTCAGCTTATTTAAATTGATGCAACCAAGTTCATTGAAATCAACAATTGTGTTAACAATAAATTTTTCTAACCATTTTTTTTTTCTGTATACCAAAAACATAAATGACACTATCTTGCACGATAACTTTCAAATACAAACACAAAGACTCTTGACTTAAATTAGATACATCCGCACTACAATTATTGTCCCAACTTAAACCATGCACATTTTTTGTGGTCCAATCGATTCTGGAAACCATGCTCCAACAAGTTGAGGGGCATAGGGCAATCAAACATTCGATGATGGACATCTTCATTCTCGATATTAATGATGGCAATTTATTTGCAGATGAAAGGGCTGGTTTTGTATTGAAATCCTTGCACATCAATAATAAACATTTTTTCTTTTTGGATTGATTTACTCTCTGGTTACGTACAAACACTCAACTGTATCAACTTTTAGATGGTTCTCGTTCTGTAGTGAATAATAGTCAAAAACTACTAGAGAGGAGTTTGAGTTTTGGAATTTATAGGATCACGAGCATGCATTTTCGAAATTGCGCATGCAAGATTCTCTATTTATAATAATTTAACTGTACTTGTAAGAGGATTATACTTCACTACTTGATCATGTAAAATTAAACAATAAGCAGCAGTATTGGCAGGAATTGCTTTTTCTGTTTCAAACTCTATACGAATGTCGACGGCACCACCTTTCAGAAGATCTTCGTTCTGTTGTGAACAATCAATAACTACTAGAGGAGCTTGAATTTTAAAATTTATAGGATTCAAACAAGGTTGACAATAATTTCTATAATAGTATGTTTTTTGGAATTGTGCATACATATCATAAAGAATAGAAAACTTGTTATTATAAAAATCTAAATTCAGGTTGTCATAAGGAAACATTTCAGAATTTAAGTACACCTTTAGGTTAACTAAGTTGCAATGATTGAACATGCTCATATTTTTTTCTTGTTTATTTTTTAGGTCTGTTTGAAAACCAGTGATAATAAACCGTGGTTTTTATAATTGACTTGATGATTTAACTGCCCACGTGTGAACTTTACTTTGTTGTAGCTGTGGATGTTCATGCAGTTCCCATTTTCTGGATGCAATCGTTAAATCTTTGTTGCTCTCAAATTGTTTAAATAATTTTAACTTCTGATAATCGCTCACAGTAATATGAGGCATCTTCCATAACACTTTGTTAAGTTTAAGTTTATAAGTTTCTTTTTGATCTGACTGAAATGCATTTAAATCAGAGTTGCTTCTAACTAATACAAGCTCTTGACGGGTATTCATTATAATTTTTTCCTACGAGCGTGCGCAAAGAAGTACTTTTCCGCACGCATTCCAGGGCTCAAAGTTACACTTTTCCGCACTCAGTGCGGATACAGGCCTTATCCGCACTGAGTGCCGAAAAGTAAAAATACTTGTCAAGCAACAATAAGTGCACCTGTCGACTTTGACACATGATGACAAATTTTTTCTCGGTTTCTATATCAGCCAACATCAATACAAACACCAAATATAAATTAACCTTGACACATTGTCAGATTTGTTCTCTATTTATATGCAAGAATCTACAAACTTTATCATCAAATTTAAATGCTTTAAGATGAACAGCTCTGACGAGGATTTTCTGTTATTTTTTTTATTAGGTAATTTTTTGATAAATGTATAGGTTCGCTTCAAGTTAATTAAAAATAATTGAACAAATTATGGGTTTAAAAAAAAAAAAAAATCTTGTTACCTACCTGATATGAAGCTCGTAGGAAAAATGTTGTTCCTAACACGTGCGCAAAGTGTCTTTTCCGCACGCAAACACAGTTATACGAACGACGCGAAGTGACACTTTGCGCACTTGTTAGGAAAATAACTATTTCCTACGAGCGTGCGGAAAAGTTACTTTTCCGCACGATTTTACTTTTCCGCGCGATTTCACTTTTCCGCACTATTTTTTTACTTTTCCGCACGATTTTTACTTCTAGTCAAAAGTGTACCCATATTAAAGTTCGGGGGCCCCCTATTTGGGGGCGGAGCCCCGCCGGGACCCTATTTATGGGGGCACAGTTCCGCGGGGGCCCCATTTTTCGGGGGCACAGTCCCACGGAGCCCCATTTTTGGGGGGCATAGTCCCGCGGGGGCCCATTTTTTGGGGGGCACAGTCCCGCGGGAGCCCCATTTTTGGGGGCACAGTCCCGCGGGGGCCCCATTTTTGGGGGTACATTCCCGTGGGGGCCCATTTTTGGGGAGCAGTCCCGCGGGGGGGCCTTTTTCAGGGGTGGAGCCCTGTGGGAGCCCGCTTTTTGAGGGGCGAAGCCGCGGGAGCTCCTTATTTGGGGGCACAGCCCCGCAGAGAGTGGGGATCCTAACAATTTTTTTGGCCAATTTAGATATAGGTACTTAGGCCAAGGATCATGATAAAATAATCCGATTCCATTATTTTTTTGTGTAAAAAAATCGTGCGGAAAAGTAAAATCGTGCGGAAAAGTTACTTTTCCGCACGATTTTTTTATTGCTAAAAATGAAAATATTTAGGATCAAATAAATGATTTATGTTAAATATTATTTTATATTATGTGCTATTTTGTACCATCATCATAAAATCTTTGCGTATTGGAAACATTTTTTTTGATAAATACGATGGACAAAAACACTCGTAGGAAAAATATTTTTTCTACGAGCGTGCGGGAAATAGCTCTTCCCGCACGATTTGCTGTGCGAGAAGACTTTCTTCCCGCACCGGTGCGGGAAGAGATTTCTTCCCGCACTCAGTGCGGGAAGAGTTTGAAATAATCATTGTGACATGGAATTGTTTGTATTGTTGATACACCTATATCTGTACCTTTACCTTTTTATAATAGTAGATTATACCACGAGTCAATAATGATAGCTATTATTCCCGAGGATTATTACGAACTGAGCCGCGTTAGCGGCGAGGGAGTAACATTCCGAGGGAATAATAGCCATTATTGCGAGTAGTATACTCTACTTTATTTACGACAAATTAATTTATTTGAGATTTTCAATGAACAAATTTCATCCGTCTCATAACTCCGCTACGCGTCGTTCGGTGAACGAAAGCCGCGTGCGGAAAAATTCATTTTCCGCAGTTGTTAGGTAAATAGCTAGTACCTAACTCTTGCGGAAAATGTCTTTTCCACCCTCGACGGCTTGGTGCATGAACTGCGCACTTTCTTAATCTCTTAATGAGGGTGCAATTGCAGGTAATTTTATAAATAATTATTCCTAATGGGTACAACCCATCCTTGTATATACAGGGTGACTGGTAAGTGGACGTATTCCTTTGAGGAGATGACATTAGAGCCTATTTGCTACCGATTAAACACTATTTACCTCTATACCATTCTTAACGGTTTTCGCGATATTTTCATTTTTCTAATTTTTATAAAATTCACTACCTTATGAGGCAAATATTTAAAATTAACGAAAATAATAAGGACCTTTCTGAAAGTCGTGTTTTAAATTTTAAGCTGACACACTGACAAAAATATCAGCATTGAAAATTATCGAAACACTAATGTTAACTATTGAGTTATTGCGGTTTAAACTTAACTTTTCTTGTTAAGTTTCTAACTAATGACTTATTTAACCCTAAAAATATCGAAAATTTCATAGTACTTCAAACGTACAAATAATTGGCAAAAGTACTCCATTTTATTGTCTCCAAGATTATTTCAGAATTAGCTTTTTGCTTTCTTGTTAAATAAATTATTTTTATTTTAAGGAGAGACGATATAATTTTCAACAGAATTCTAATTTATACCTGTTTTGGATATCAAGTGTTGCAATAAAAATTTTATCAAATTTTTTAGTAGCTAATAGTAATAGTTTTTAGTAAAGAAGTAATTATTATTTTCTGCTTGAAAATTTTGAAATTTTCATAATAAATTACTGGCACTCTATGGCCAAGCATTGTTGAATGCATTCTCTTTCAAATAGTTCACAATTGGCACCTAATTTTTTCGTTCCATAATAAAACAATAATTACCATTTGAAAAAATGTATTTCCTATCATAATAAAAAAAACAACATTCTCAAAATGAAATGGAAAAACTTTTTGATACAATTTAATCAATAACTCATTAATTTTCAAAATGACTAACCCCATTCCTTATGCAATTACGAGCCCGTCTTCGTATTTCTGTCCTGGTTACTCGATTTGAAAAGTTCTGTCGCAATATCGCAACAGGAGTTAAATCAGGGCTCCTAACAGGCCATGGTATGGGTCCACCTCTTCCAATCCATCTATTCGGAATCCTTTGGTCTAAGAGTGCCCTTATTGTTAGACGATAGTGTGCAGGACATCCGTCAAGCTGGAAGATCATCTGTTTGCCTGTTCGCTAAAGGGACATCTTGTAGTAGCTCATACAAGTTGTTACGTGAAAATTCTTCATAATTTTCACCGTTAAGGTTATCAGGTAAAAAATCAAAATTTGTTATTCCTTCTCTAATATTGTAGCATCCTCAACATCCGAATTCAGAATAAATCTGCAGAACTGAATTCTGCGAATTAATGGTTTCTTTATGCTGAAAAATTTCGAAAACTTCATAAAGTGTGTTTTTTTTTAAAAGATAATTCCCCAAGTCAAAAATTTAGTAACTATGTTGGCAACACAAGCCTTTTCTACATGAAAAATTTGAAAGCATTGACAATTTTACATTGTATTGCCAACATAATGTCAGTTTGACTTTTATCTTTAAAAAAAAAAACGCACTTTAGTCCACCAAACGTACAAATGATTGTTAAAAATTCTCTATTTTATTGTCTTTAAAATAAGGTTGTTTTATTGTTGATTTCATAATTTTCATTTGTAGGAGTAACGGTTTTATTCTCGCATTTAGAAGAATTGTAAGTTCAGACTAAGTAAGCAACATTATTTTCCAGTCTTTTCTTATTGCAATTTGGTGTGATACTCGCC